TACGTTACTTACGGTGATGATAATAAAGGAACAATTCTTGGAGTTAGAACCATTGGTGCACCTCCATGTACAATCATCAAAGACGTTCTTTATATGGAAGGCCTTAAACACAACCTACTTAGCATAAGTCAATTGTGTGACAAAGGGTTCCGAATCAACTTCACGAAGGATGAATGTTTAATAGAACATGAAGTCACCCATGACATCTTGCTAAAAGGTAAAAGATTTAATAATATTTTTATGATCTCTTTTGATGACTCTTCCTTGAAGGTAAAATGTCTAATGGCGAACAACAATGAGGCGTGACTTTGGCATAAAAGATTTGCTCACATTCACATGAAGCATTGGTCTTCCGAAGATAAAATTCATCAAGGATAAATTATGCGACGCATGTCAAAAGGGGAAACAGACCAAGACAACTTTCAAATCCAAGCAAGTGGTTTCTACATCAAGACCACTTCAACTGTTGCACATGGATCTTTTTGGTCCATCGAGAACGAAAAGCTTCGGAGGTAGTTTTTATGCTTTAGTTATTGTTGATGATTTCTCTCGATACACATGGACATTGTTTTTAGTGCAGAAAAATGATGCTTTCAAAGAATTCAAGAAGTATGCAAAGCAAATTCAAAACGAGAAGTCACTCACCATAGCCTCCATAAGAAGCGATCATGGTGGAGAATTCCAAAATTCAGATTTTGAAGATTTTTGCGAAGAGCATGGAATTTCTCATAATTTCTCCGCACCAAGGACTCCTCAACAGAACGGTGTCGTAGAACGGAAGAATAGGTCACTGGTGGAGCTTGCTAGAACGATGCTTAGCGACTCGAATCTTCCTAAATATTTCTGGGCAGAGGCAGTTAGCACGGCATGTTTCGTAAGCAACCGTGTCAATATTCGACCAATTCTCAAGAAGACTCCGTATGAGCTGTTCAAGGGTAGGAAACCAAACATAGCATTTTTCCACATATTCGGATGCAAATGTTTTGTTCTCAACAACAATAAGAACAATTTCGGTAAGTTTGATGAGAAGTCCGACGAAGGTATATTTCTTGGTTACTCTCTTTCTAGTAGAGCTTTTAGAATTTCTAATAAAAAAACTCTTACTATTGAAGAATCCATTCATGTTTCTTTTGATGAGACTAACCCCTCAAAAGAGGATAATATTATTGTGGATGATGATGATGATGATATAGTAGGTTCTTCACAACAACAAGAAGAGACTTCAAAGAATCAAGTAATACCTCAAGAAGATATCATTAAATCATTGAAGAACATCAAGATTTTCCGAAGGAATGGAGAATGCATAGAGATCACCCGATAGATAAAGTTATTGGTGATATTAGCCAAGGTGTTGCAACTCAACTAAATCTTAAGGATGCTTGTCTCAACATGGCTTTTGTGTCTCAAATTGAACCAACCAAGATTGATGAAGCCTTAGGCGACAACCAATGGATTGTAGCAATGCAAGAAGAACTCAAATAATTCGAAAGGAATCAAGTTTGGAATCTCGTACCAAGACCATACAACAAGCACATCATAGGAACAAGATGGGTGTTTAAGAACAAACTTGATGAGAAAGGGATCATAGTTCGTAACAAAGCAAGATTGGTCGCACAAGGCTAAAACCAGGAGGAAGAAATTGATTTTGATGAAACGTTCGCTCCGGTAGCAAGGTTGGAAGCAATTAGATTATTACTTGCTTACGCTTGTTCTATGAATTTTCAGTTGTTCTAGATGGATATCAAAAGCGCTTTTCTAAATGGATATATAAACGAAGAAGTCTACGTCAAACAACCTCCGGGTTTTGAAGACTTCAAAAATCCCTCGCATGTTTACAAACTGAAAAAGGCACTCTACGGACTGAAACAAGCGCCAAGAGCATGGTATGACCGCCTTAGCAATTTCTTGTGTGAAAAGAGATTTACAAAAGGAAAGATTGACAAGACGCTGTTCATAAAGAAGATCAAGGGTAACACCTTGCTGGTTCAAGTCTATGTCGACGACATCATCTTCGGATCAACAAACAAAGAGCCTTGCGAAGAATTCTCACTTATGATGCAAGGAGAGTTCGAGATGTCCATGATGGGAAAATTAAACTATTTTCTTGGACTACAAATCAAGCAAACAAAGGATGGCATCTTTCTCAACCAATCCAAGTACTACAAAGAATTGTTGAAGAAATTCGATATGGATAGTTGCAAGGTGATGTCCACTCCTATGGGATCCGGAACGTACGTTAATCAAGATGAATCTGGTACTCCAATTGATATTACAAAATATCGGGGTATGATCGGTTCATTATTATATTTGACGGCAAGCCGTCCTGACATTATGTTTAGCGTTTGTTTGTGTACACGCTTTCAAGCAAGTCCGAAGGAATCACATCTCACCGTCGTGAAGAGAATCATAAAGTATCTCAAAGGAACAACGAACGTCAGATTATGGTATCTAAAAGGTAGTACTTGTTCTTTAATTGGTTATTCTGACGCTGATTATGCAGGATGTAAGACCGATAGAAAAAGCACGAGTGGTACGTGTCACATTCTTGGGAATGCACTAGTGTCATGGGCCTGCAAGAAGCAAGCGTGTGTGGCACTTAGTACAGCCGAAGCGGAATATATTGCAGCAGGAAGTTATTGTGCACAAATTATGTGGCTCAAGCAACAACTCCTCGATTACGGTGTAGATCTCGGTTGCATTCCTCTTTGATGTGATAATACAAGTGCCATCAATATTACAAAGAACCCGGTCATGCATTCAAGGAAAAAGCATATAGATATTAGGCATCACTTCCTTCGAGATCACGTACTAAATGGAGATGTAGATGTTACTTTTGTCGATACACACAATCAACTCGTCGACATCTTTACCAAACCATTGGCGAAAGAACCGTTCTTCAAAATTCGACGAGAACTTGGGATTCTCGATGAAGGTGATATCTGATCTCTTCTCTGGTTTATGTTTGAATAATGTATGTTTTCCAATGTTTGTGCATTATGTTTTTAGCAATTTTCTAAAATTCGCGTGTGTTAAATCGATTAACCTATAGGGTTAACCGATTAACACTGTTAATTTTTCAATTCTGACTTAAATTTTTAATGTGTTAACGATTAACACTGATACTTTTTATTTTGGAAATTAATTTTTTAATGTGTTAACCGATTAACCTATATGGTTAACCGATTAACACTGCTAAAAATTTTCAAAAATCAGAAACGAAAAATTAATTAAAATTTTGGAAAATTAAGTGTGATAAATGTGTTATTTATGTGTTGTTTTTATTATTTTTCTTTCCGGATATTGTTTAAATTGTTTAAGTTGTTAATTTCTTTTGTAACCGTACAATGTTTGCTGCATTTTTCTATGTGCTGCATTTTTTATTTCAATCTATTATGTTGTGCTTGATTATATGTTGTTATGTATGCCGATATTGCTTTTGTTTGGTTTTGAAAGCTCCTTCCTTTTTGTTAATGACAAAGGGGGAGAAGAGCTTGTTGGCTAATATCTCTCTGTGCAGAATTTTTTTCCTCTGTTTAGATAGGGGGAATTGTTGGACATAGGGGGAGAAACAAGAAGCAAACCTAGATCGAACATCGTCAAAAGATATCGCACAAGACGCACTTGTTTGTCATCATCAAAAAGGGGGAGAATGTAGAAGCACATTTCAATCTCAAGGTTTTGATGATGTCAACAAAGACTCAAGCTCATTCCATGATTGCAAACAAAAAGTCAAAGCTTTCAAAATTGATCAAGATCAAGATTTTTACACTATATACCCGTGGGGGTATATGTACTACGAAGCTGCTTGCACTATATACCTGTGAGGGTATATACACTGAAGATAAAACCAGAAGCATCATGTGCAAATGTTTCTACAAGTTTCAAGATTTGGACTCAAGCTTCGGTATATCAATATTCACTCCTTTAATTGATATACAAGTGTTCAAATAATTTATCATATCAACATATTGCATTTGCATGGTTTTAAAATCATTTGAATTGGTATAACACTTTTTAACTTAGTATTTTTCTGAGTTTTAACAGTGTTAACCGATTAACCATATGGGTTAATCGGTTAACGGTCTTAAATTTTGAATTCTCTGGGCCAACGTTCAAGTGTTAATCGATTAACCTACAGGGTTAACCGATTAACACTGAACGAATTTTGAAAAATTGTTGCTGTTAAAATTCAAATGTTGTTTGAATATTATACCTTTTCATCTTTTGATTCATACTCAATTATACCTTTTTGAAATGGTGTTTTACTCATATAAATTCTGGAAATTTCAAATTGAAAAAACACCTCCAATAATTTTCAAAATTATCATTGAATCAAATTCATCACTTTTCAAATATTTTCAAAAGCGTTCATATTGTTCATACAATTTCATATCCAGATTTTTGAACACTTGTATTGATATTGAAAAGTGAATTTTGATCAAAAGGAGAAGATCAATTATTAGATTGATATTATCATTGTATCACTCTCAAAATTAAAAAATTACAAGAATTATTTCTGTGTGACTTGTGATTCAGGATTGTTGAACACAAGGGTTAGTGTTTACAAGAGGATTGTTCTTGCACACTAGTTGTTGATTAGTTGTTAGATTGTAGGCCTCAACGGTTGATGGTGTGATAGGTTGTAATTTCTAAAACTATAGTGAAAACTCTCTTTCACGTGGAAAGGGGAGTGGAGTACCTTCGGATTGTGAAGGGAACCACTATAAATCTCCGTGTTCATTTTTCTTTCTGTTTTTACTGCTTTCACCACCAAGAACTTAAAGGAGAAAAATTCAAGAACATCTAAAACATTTTGTTGTATGTACTTTTCAAAACATTTTGTTGTCCCTTTTATTTATAAATAATATATTTGCCTTTATAGTATTTATGTGAAAGAAAACATGATTTTCCCTAAGAGATTCATGTTTTTAATTACAATATGACATTTTTGATAGTATAGGATAAAATTTACACCTTATCACCTTACAATGATTAAGATTTTATGTTTCCCATCTACGTATAATAATTTGAACACCATACTGTGGCTGAAGAGTAACCGTTGGGGATGGAGCATGAGTATAGGTTGGTGAAAGTTCAAATGAGAAATGCTGCAAAATCATTGTGGTTGCCATCTTTGCTTCCATCATGGAAAAGTTTTGTCCAATGCAAATTTTAGGACCTCCTCCAAATGAAAAAAATGAATGTCTACCATTTGTTGCTTTGGAAATTCCTTCAGAAAATCTGTCAGGATTGAACATCTTAACGTCATCACCCCAAAGTTCACGGTCATGGTGAACCAAAAGAATTGGTAAGGAAACTTCCACTCCAACAGGTAATATTAAGTTTCCAAGTTTCACTTCTTTCTCAATATTCCGAACAAGTTTTAGTACAGGAGGGTATAACCTTAGAACCTCGTACAAAATCATGGTCACCTATCATAGAAATGTTCATCCCACCAATAAGTATTAAGGTTATTAATAACACTAATAAGTCAAATATAAAGATAAGATTCATAATGATTTTCTTACAATAATGTGGTTTGGAAACATATTTTTATAATATGCCGTTAGCGAAATGACAAATCATAAAAATTAAATCACAAATAAAAATGTGAGAAAAACTCATGAAAATTGTGAAATTAAGAAAAAAATATAAAAAATAAGACTAAAATTCATATTTAGTTAAATTAGAGAACCACAAATGCATTTAAGACAACATAATAGTAAAATACTTACGATCTTCAAATTATTTAGTCCATCAAAATCTAGTTTTTTTATGCCAAAGATTTGTAACACATCCTCTCTTGCACGTTGTTGCCAATTTGGGTGCCTACGCAACAACACCATTGTCCAAACAAGAAAAACTGAAGTAGTCTCTTAGTCCTGCAAGATAGAATAATTTACATTCTTCGACTACATCTTCAAGAGTCATTCCCACATTCTTGTCATTTTAATTTTCTTCAATCTCCTTGTGATTTGGTTCAAGAAGAACAGTCAATAAGTCATTCATAGCACATTTATCTATCTTTAATGCTTTTTTCCTCTTATTAATTATATATTTAAGCAAATATCTTATATCTTTGTTGATTTCATTCATCTTTCTATGGAAAATAGTAGACACAAACCTGCAAACAAAATTGTTAAAAGTAATAACTACATATATTAGAGAGAAAAAATGAAAACTAAATGAATAAGTGTATGATATGTAATTATCTTACATCCAGAATGGAATGAAAGATTTTGTTAAAACTTCCATTAATAGTTCAGTTTGCTCTTTTTGAAGTTGAAATATTGTTTTTCCTTCTAAATAACTACTTCCGAATGATGTTGGAGAAATAGCATCACTTGTTAAAATATTCTTTTTCCTTCTTCATAACTACTTCCGAATGATGGAGTCATAATTTGTGGTGAAATCGTTAAAAATAACCATAAGTTTAAACTTCAGGTTAAAAAATAGACCCCTTGCACACATTCATGCACAATTTCAAGATTTTTATTAGTAAAACTGCTAGAGATATAAGAAATTGTAGATAAAACGTGAGTCTTTTATGGAGTGTCAAAGACACAAAATCACCATGAATCCAATCCCTACTTAAAATAATAAACTAGGAATTAGTTCATCTTTTACTAAGAAGGTTGGCATTATCTCTTTTGGGATCACCACCACATCAATTATTAGTTCTCCAAATATGCATGTTAGATGTAGCATTAATGTGTCATTCACATTAGTCTTTTGATATAAATTTTAGAATTTGTTATGGATTGTAGTTGGTAGATTAGGTTTAATGTATGAGAAAATAGTTCTTGAATTCCTTAAATTCGTCAAAAAAAAAACTTCCTGACAATAATTGTGTATTTTATTGGTCTTGTGTTAATTGCGGGAATATCAAAAAATAGTCAAAGAAACAAATATTATATCACTTATACTGTGATGGAATGTGTCAAAATTATACATCATGGACGTGTCATTGAGATGCGGATAAAAATCGAAATATGATGTCACAAATGGATGAAGATGATGAAGATATGGATGATCGACTAGAAGATATGATCCCTGATATTGGAGAATATTCTTATATGAAAACTCATTTTTATGATATTTTATGTAGTGATAATGATGTGCCTTTATATAAGGGGTGCACAAAATTTACACGGTTGTTTTCTTTGTTAAAATTGTAATCTTAAGGTAAAAAATGGGTGGTCGAATAAAAGTTTCGCAAAATTACTTAATTTGTTAAAACAAAATGCTACCAGAAGATAACAATTTGCTGAATCATTGTTATGACGCCAGGAAGATAGTGTCCAATGGGTTTGGAGTATATCAAAATACATGCAAGCCCTAATGATTGCATGTTATATAGGAAAGAGTATGAAAAATTTTATAAATGTCTGGAATATGGTGAGTCACGTTACAAGTTGAAGGACAACAATGGTGATGACAATGACAAGGTTAGTAAGAAGTGTCTTCCTACTAAAATGTTATGGTACTTGCCAATAATTTCAAGGATAAATATACTTTTTGCTAATGCGAATGACGCAAAGAATATTAGATGGCATGCAGATGAAAGAAAATATGATGGAAATATTCGCCATATAGCTGATTCTTTACAATGGAAGAAACTCCGAATTTTGGCATTGAGCCAAGAAACCTCGGGCTTGAGCTTGCCACATATAGAATGAATCACAAGTATATGTTGAGCCAAGAAACTTTAGGCTTGGGCTAACCATTCTTCGTGGCTTATTCTTCTCACGATTTACAACCTATCTTCATGGTTGAGCATGAAACACAAGTATATGTTGTTGAGTTTGATGATTTATGGACCAAGACATCCTGAAAATGACATAGATGTTGATCTAAGTTCATTAATTACAGATTTAAGACTTTTGTGGGAGGAAGGCGTAAACGTTGATGATGCATATTCGGGTGAAAAGTTTAAGATGTGTGCAATGTTATTTTTCACAATCAACGACTTTCCTACATATGGTAATTTGGTTGGATACAATGTCCAAGGACATAAATCATGTCATATATGTGAATGTAATACCGGTTTTCACTAGCTTAAGTTTGGAAAAAAAACCGTTTACTAAGGGTATTCATCAGTTCAGGCAAATTTGAACCAAACGAGAATCCAAACCAAACCATGGTGGTTGGGTCATGCATTTTTTAAGTTCGGAAAAAAACCGAACCAAATCAATAAAATCCGATGTTAATTGGTTCGAGCAACGGATTTCCGAAATTCTAACAGCAAACCCGTCTACCTGAACCAACCATATCAATTCATATAATTTATATCATTATCATAGAAACTAGTGTAAGATATTCAACTTCAAGAACGAAGAAAAATGAAACGTAATTTGTGACATTCTCAACATATATGAAAAAATGAAAACAAAATAGAAAAAATAATATTATTATAGAAAATTAGTTGATGTAAATTTAAAATTTCTTTAAAATATTTTTGTATATTTGTTTCTTTTGTATCCGATCAATCCAAGCCAAACCAACCTGTTATTTCTCGATTTGGTTTGATTTGGATTTTACTGAAAAAATGTGAAAATTTAATCCATATATTTTTGATCGGGTTAGGCATCAGATTCTCTTAAAATCGAACCAAACCAGCCCGCGAACACCCATACCATTTACCTTGGGCATCATAAATTTCTAAAACCCAATCATCCTTATCGTAGATTGCATAAGGCCTTTAAGGAAGACCATGAGTTTGAAATTGCTCCTAAATCTTTTAATGGCGATGAATTTTATCAAAGACATGAACACCTTATTGTTGTCTTTGAAAATAATAAAAAAGGCCCCGTTGAGAGAAATATTTAGAAAAAGATATCGGTGTTCTTTGATCTTTCATATTAGTCTAGCATCAATGTAAGATATTGTCTTGATATGATGCATGTGGAGAAAAAATGTGTGATAGTTTAATAGGAACACTTATAAACATTCTAGGTAAGACTACACATAATAAGAATTCTCGTTTAGATATGGTGGAGATGGTTATACAACAACAGTTAGCTCTAGAAGATAGAGAAAAAAAAGAAGTTATTTTTCTCTAGCATGTCACACTCTATCTAAAAAGGAAAATAAAAGTTTTTGTAAGTACTTCCATGAAAGATCTCAAGATAATTGGTTTAAAATCTCCTGATTGTCATGTCTTGGTGCAACAACTTTTACCAGTGGCTACCTGTGGCATCCTTCCTAAAAATGTAAGAGTAACTATAACCAAATTGTACTTATTCTTCAATGTTATATGTAATAAAGTTCTCGATTTCAAAAAAATTAGATGAATTAGAATATGAGGCTACAATAATCTTGTGTCAATTGGAGATGTATTTTCCACCATTATTTTTTGACACTATGGTCACTTACTTGTTCATCTAGTCAAAGAAATCTGATTTTGTGATCTAGTTTATTTAAGGTGGATGTATCCAATAGAGCGATACATAAAGATCATTACAGGATATATGAAGCATCATCACCGATCGAAAGCCTCGATCGTTGAAAGGTACATCACAGAAGAAACTGTTGAGTTTTGTTAAAGCTATTTGTCAGAAACATAGTCTATATAAATTCCAAAGTCTCATCATGTTGAAAGATTTGGAGGTAGAGGTACTCAAGGTTTAAATGTTAAGTCAATGGTTCGGGATGTAGTTTTTGAAGCACATTTCTATATATTAAATAATCTTAGTTAAGTTGAACCTTACATAGCTACTCACAAAACAATTATAAAGAAAAAATATCCCCTAATGAATGGCAAATGGTTGTTGAAATAGCATAACAAGAAATTCATAAGTTGGTTTAATAAGAGTATTTCTAATAATGATAGTGCATCTGAGATAACTAAATGGTTGTCGTACATGCCAAAATTTAATGGCATAACTTGGGATGCATATTACATTTCTAATTTTTTTCCTTTTATGCAAAAGAAAATGATGATCATAGTACAATTCAAAATAGTATGGTTATGGTTAAGGACGAATCCATGTATTTCTTTAGTTCGAAAGATAAGAATCATATTTTGGAAACTAGCGCGTTCTATGGTGTCATTGGGCATATTTTGGAGATTGATTATGTTATTTTCAAAGTGACTTTATTTAAATGCAAGAGGGTTTCCAATAACAATAGTGTATAAATTGATGAGTTAGGACTCACACGGGTTGACCTTGACAAGACAACTTATATGACCGAACCATTCACTATGGCTACTCAATCAAAACAATTTTTGTATGTGACATACCCTTCAGACTTATGGAGTAGATGATCAATTGTAATCCAAGGAAAATACATCCCTCACAGTGATAAAAATTTTGATATTCCTTCTTACGCAACACAAGTGTCTACTTCATATGAAGAAGTTGATAGAGATTATGTGCATGATATTCGTAACAATCGTCAAGAAGGCATATAGGAAAATTAACAAGTAAGTTTTTTATATTCTTCATTCATTATTTATTTTAAGTTATAATTTATAAGGTTATTTACTAACAAGTTTTATTATTTTAAATTATAGGTGTTTAAAGTCAAGACACCAAGATACCAAGATACTATTATTTGATGTAATGATGTGTAAATTGTAGGTTGTTTTGTGCTATTATGATTTTGATGTAATATACATTTTTTGTTTATTAATGGAATTTTATCTTTGATGTAATACAATTTTTGGTCTAATTTAATTCACAAATGGGTGTGTTGTTGTTTTTGGTCTAATACGATTCAGAAAAATTCATGTTAAAATATTGAGAATTCTATAAAATAAAAAAATACTAAAAAAACAAATATTTCAAAACGGTTGTTTAATAAAACCGTAGTTGTAAGCAGAACACTATCCAGAATAATAAACACAAAAAATTGCAGTACTGGATATCAAACTCAAGACGTATAAATTATTTCACAACGATTGTTTAAAACAATCGTTGTTATATGTAGCGTGTTATCATGTTTACTACGACACGTAATATGTCATTGTTGTAAACTACACACTTACAATCACATCCAACCTCACAACGGTTAGTCAACCGTGATAGTATTCCTTATACCATCCTTTGTGAAATGTGTTTTTCGTAATAGTTTTTTTAATAAGATATCATAAATAGAATAATCATTTCACTAAAGATAATTTTCTCATTTGACATCATCTAACTCTAAGAAGTTAATCGATGCTGCCACATTTTCATAGTCGGCTAGTTCATCAAAAGACATTGAACACTGAATATTAAATTCGGGCCTTCGAGGCTTAAACTACGTACATT